CCCCAAAACCCCAAAACCCCGAATAAAAAAATAAGCATATATCTTAAAATTAAAATATATTATATAGTAAATTAAAAAATTTAATTAAAAAAAGAGTAATGATTTTATCAGAATTAGAAACTAATTGCTCACTAGCTAGTAAATATCTATTCAAAAAATTTGTCGTCATTTCTGAATAACTCTAGGAATAAGCCTTTAAAGAATTTTTAAATTTCAATATAAAGTGGATGATTTTTCCCAAAGCAACAGGCTAATTTCTCTACAAGATGATATCTATCTAAGTCTGCATTTAATTTGAAAATATCCCAAGCTTATCTAAATTACTTTTCATCTTATTTATACGAAGATATTCCCATTACTTCTTAAAGCATAGAATACTTTAAAAATCTGAAATGTACATGCCTATTAATGCATTGGTTTTCATGAATTTCAAGATATCTCGATAAACTTCCATAAATTTAATCTCATAACGCATCATTTCGGATGGATTGTTGTAGTGAAATTAAGGTGGAAGTTATTATAATTTATCTTTAATCTAATCATATAGCTCACAGGAAAAGCATTTACAAGTTATAGACCAAAATGCATTTAAAAATTTATGTTTACCTTCTGTGGGAATATATCTAGGGGTTAAGCTAACTAGTATCTCCTCACCCTCTTTAATATCTTTAGTAGCTACTACAAAATTATTCAAACCTATCTGGAAATTCTAGACATTTCTGTCACAACTGTGATTAATCAAAGAGAAGACTGGCCATACGCAATTTAAAGGGTAAAAATCTTTTTCTAATTTTTGACCAAACTAAATATCAACTTAAATGCAATCTCTTTTGGTAAGCTGCATTATCTTATTAACTTAATGATATCCAATTTATTCAAAATCGTTGTCAATTCTATCCTTCTTTATTAATCTCTTTAAATCAAATAATTATTATTAATTATGCCCAATGTCAAGATACTTAAGCCATCTTGCCTCCTCCATTTTATTTAACATCGATTATTAAGCGTTTCTAATTAAAGGGACATGATCAGGTGATTCAAGGTAGATGAAGTTTTACATAATGAAGAATTATAGATCTGTTATAGATTTGATTTCATTATGGTAGATTGGCATCTCTGCAAGTATTAGCTGACCTTTTTTAATATCTTAACTTGCAAATATTCCTCTTCTCTATTCCTTGTTTAATTTTAGTTGCAGAGGACCAAAATAATCTTAAATTTTCAAATCTTATTTAAGCTAGCACAGTTTACTTTGCTTGAGAAGTTTGCCAAAGTCGAAGATTCCTTTTTATTGCTATATTCTTTCTTAAACATCATTAATGAATGATAAAATTTCTTCGTTATGAAGAGTAGGATTCAAATTACTCAAAATTTAAAGTGACTCCTATTCTTAACCAAGTTAAGAGAGAGCTTTAGCTTTTCTGAATAAATTTTTCATAGATTCTGGGTCAATTTCTAAACATTTATTGCTATCAATGACAGCTTTTTCGTATTGCTATGTGTTGATGTAACCTTAAGATCTATTCCCGTAGAGAATTAGTAGAAGTTATGAATCCTAAGACTTAACAGCTTTTTCAATGCCATAAGTGAATAAGTTTATTGCATTAAAATAATTCCTAAGTGCAAAAGCTTGATTTCCTAATTATTTAAGTGAGCTTGCATCATACTTTAGCTATGCTCTCTTGATATATTGCTCAAATTTATCATTTTAATCAAGAAAAATCAACTATTCTGAGTCATCAACTTTAATGAATGGGTGACATTCAGCCCCGAATCTGAAATAGGGATTAAGGACAACAAATTTTTGACCTTCTTAGAAATGTCTGATATCATACTTATGGTCCATTTTTTCAAAGCTGCATCTAACCATATGTTAAAGCTATGCATCTAAATTGATAGGAATTAGATTAGCATCGACACATACTGTGTGAAAAGATTTTAAAAATGCTGGTTTTCCATCTATCTTCAATTCGATATATGACCCATAATGAACCTCTTCAATTTTTAAATCTTTAACTTGAATCGGTCTATATTTTAGCAGCTCTTCATCTTAAATTTTGAATTAGTACTTTCTAAAAGGTTTATTAATCACATGCATTTAATCTCTTTCTTGCATTCCGTTTTATATGTACATATTTGAACTTTTAGCAAACCGCTCTAAGATTGCCATTGGATCATTTGCCTTGGTAAAATTTTCGATCATCTCCAATCTCTGAAATGCGAAATGCTGCACGTAATAATCTTTTGTTTGTTCTTTACTTAGTGTGCCTGTTTAAAACCCCTCTTCTATTAATTTGAGTAGTATTATGAGCTTGGCCATATCTGGCTTGTAAGGATCACTAAAATATTCCATGGAATTAAACTTTATAATATTGAGTTACCACTTTAAGCATATTTATATCTAATAGAAAGACTCGAAATTGCAAGGACGTGTACAACTTTTTCTCAATATCTTTATATAATTTAGAAACTCAATTTCTATTATTTAATTTGAGTAACCTAGGATATCTTAAAGTTATATGTAATAATATATTTATCTTTAGAAGATTCATCTTAAATTCAATCCTAAGGGGTTTTGGGGTTTTGGGG